AACTCTCTTTTAAACAAATATACAGTTATTAAAAACAATAATAATAACATCACTTTAATAATTAAAAATAGTACTAAATAAACTATTCTAATTCACAAGAAAGATATATTTTGGTTTGGAGAAGATGGATAGATTATACTGAGCGTAAATATGGGACTAAAAAATATCATTTGGTTTTTGAGTGAATTTTAGAGTATTACTGTTGTATAAAGGTATCTTTTATAGCTAGGTGTGTTTTAAGGAAGCCAATTGCTCCACAGATAAAGTGGAGGCTTTTCTATTTCCTTGACTATTTCTGAATTATTCACAGTGTCCAAACTTTTCTGTTTCTGATTTTCTCAGTCTTTCCCCCAGAGCCATTTGCTAGCATCTGCCCACGACATTACTAGCTGCCAGCGCTCTGTCTTTCTCTTCCTCCCTCCCCCTCGACATTTCACTGAAAGAAAAAGATAAGAAAGGAATTGGCTGAGTTACTTTGGGGTATGCTGAGAGCTTCTCTTCAAGCTTGTCAGTTGTCCTTCTGTGTCCAGTAGATGTTGCGTAATACACTTCCTTCCCAGGCTGGAGCTCCCCTGAAGGCTACAGGCATCCATCTACAGCAGTGGTTCTCAACCTGTGGGTCGGGACCCCATTTGGGGTCGATCGACCATTTCATGGGGGTCGCCAAGCAAGGCTGTCCGCCATTTTTTTTGTCCACCTTTTTTTTTTGTCCGCCATTTTTTCCCCCTTTTCCGGCAGGTGCCTTACCTCCCTTGGGCTGGGCCAGCTGGTGGTCGGCCTGCTCCGTCTCTGCCGCTTGCCAGCTATGCCTCGGCCGGCGCAGGGGGCAGAACCACGCATGCGCGGTGCTCCCGGGCAGGGAAAGTCCTCGACTTACGACCGGTTGGGTAGTCCTCGACTTACGACCGGTTTAGTCCTCAACTTACGACCGCATTAGTCCTCGACTTACGACCGGTTTAGTCCTCAACTTACGACAGGTTGGGGTCGCGGCATTAAAAAGGTTGAGAACCACTGATCTACAGGTAGTCACCTACGTCAGTCACCATCTGTCAGGTTTGAGTGAAGGACATCTCTCTTTCTGGATCTTCGTGTCTCTTTTTTTCCACAGGGAAGCTTTTAACAAATCTTTTGGCCTTCTAGAAGCTTGTAAAACTTGGTTGTTCCAGAAGCTCTTCTGTGGCAGTGTTCCTACTATTCTATTAATTGTGATGTTTAACCATAATTGTTAATTATATTTCTGTTATTGTATCCTAACGTGCTTAATGTATGCAGTATGTATCCTATTGTTATTATTACTTTGGCTGGAGCTGAATCTTTTCTTCACCACTGAGAGTCCCTTAGGCTGAATGATTAATGAATTTATAAATAAATAAAAATAAGATAGAATCTAATTTTAACTACAGCAACGTTATTTAATTACTGATACTCTAATTGCAATATTTTTCCTATGCAATCAGTATCAATTGGGAGTACTGTAATTACCAAATATTCCACTTCATTCCATCCCACCAGACTCAGTAAATCATATCTTACGACGTATGACCACAATTTATCCTAAAAATTTCCGTTGCAAGCAAGATAGCTGTTAAGTGAATTTTGCCCCATTTTACGACCTTCTTGCCACAGTTAAGCTGGTAATACGGTTGTTAAGTGAATCTGGTTTCCCCATTGATTTTCCTGTCAGAAGGTTGTAAAAGTCACCACGATATAAAAAAGATATTGAGACTCTAGAAAGAGTACAGAGAAGAGCAACAAAGATGATTAGGGGACTGGAGGTTAAAACATATAAGGAACGGTTGCTGGAATTGGGTATGTCTAGTTTAACAAAGAGAAGGACGAGGGGGGACATGATAGCAGTGTTCCAATATCTCAGGGGCTGCCACAAAGAAGAGGGAGTCAAGCTATTCTCCAAGGCACCTGAAGGCAGGACAAGAAACAACGGATGGAAACTAACCAAAGAGAGAAGCAACCTAGAACTAAGGAGAAACTTCCTGACAGAACAGTTAACCAGTGGAAACAGTGAATGCGCCAACACTGGAAGTTTTTAAGAAGAAACTGGACAGCCATTTGTCCGAAATGGTATAGGGTTTCCTGCCTGAGCAGGGGGTTGGACTTGATGACCTCCAAGGTCCCTTCCAACTTTATCATCATCATCATCATCATCATCATCATCATCATTATTATTATTATTATTATTATTATTATTATTATTATTATTATTATTAAGGTGATTATATATGACTGGGACACTGCGACCATCATAAATACACGCCAGTTACCAAGCATGCAAATTTTGATCATGTGATCATGGGAGTCCTGCAATGGTGGAAGTATAATAGCACTTTTTGCAGTGCTGTTGTAACTTCAAAGGGTCACTAAGTTGAATGGTTGTAATCTGAGGACTGCCTGTAGTAGCTTAAATGTGCCACCACATAATATCTTCAAATAAGGTTGAGGGAGAAAAATTGAAAGCTTCAAATTGAATCAAGTGAGAGACTCTATGCATACCATTAAAAAAGAAGACTCAGTTGAAAAGATTTTATCTCATATTGGGTTGCAATCTGAGGTTACACATGCAAGATACTTTTATACTGATAGTTAATGACTCAGGAAAAAATTGACATATCCTCCAACATTAGCTTCCTTATGTCAAGACTAACTATTCTTGGTTAAGAGTGGTAGAACCAGATGAATGCTTGTGTAACGAATTTCTTAATTTATAAAATAGGAAGATTATAATCCTTGCAAAATGGGTCTTAGAATAAGCTAACATATTTCAAATATTATTCAAAGTGTATCATCTCCTTCAACCCGACATCCCGTTATAGATTGGATTACCGTTTTTATCAAACCTCGCACTTCCTTCAGATTTTGCTTGGATTTTAGAGGTCTTGATGTGTATTTTGAGGCTAGAATCTCCTTTCTATAAAGTATTTAAAATTTGGAGCTGGGTCTTTTATATTCAGCAGTTTGCTTTTTTTTTTTTAATGTATATGTGTACAAACAGAAAAACAGCATTCAAACTGCTAATTTTCTGTTCTGTTATGTTTGCTTTTAATCCCACCTTTTTTCCCCTGGGAAATTAACATTTTGTAATTGGCTACACTCAGAGCTATATTTCCTAAAATCTGGTAAATGATCTGATCTCTAGATCTTTAATTACAATTCATATAAATCCCAGCCATGGTCAAGATTTGTGAAGAATGTTGTTCAAAAACCAAACTAGGTAAAGGGTTCGTTTAATTAATTTGGCAATTGACAAATTTGAGATTTGGTGATTCCTGTACGATCTATTTCTCATGAGTGTGCATCTCCCTTCTCCCAATTTCTTTCAGGATACTGAACACCACATTCTTCGAACTGCCTGAAATTGTTGGTGGTTTTCCTGCTTTATCAGTCTTTATCATTTTACTTTCGATACTTCAAATTCTCCACTGCTTTTGGTCCTATTTAATAATAAAGGCAGCCTATAAAGCTCTTTTGAAAGGCAAGGTAAGATAAATGGGGATGTTTTTCTTGATGTCTTTTTAATCATCTACTTTTCCAGCAAATATTCTGGCATGCTTTATTGACTTTGGGGCAGTGAAATCTGTTAGGATTTCTGACTTTAAATACGCTGTACTTTAAATATACAGTATTTCTGATAAACATAGGCTCAATTCTTGTTATATTTATATCTTAGTACATTATATGAAGTCAACCATTGTAGCTAGCAAATTGTGGGTTCTCCGAAGAGTCACCCAGCACTATTTGACCTCGGAACAGAATCTGTAGGTGGGTATCCCACTCTCTGAAAGGTTCAAAGGCTGAGCTTTGAGCTCTGTATATATGAGGAAAAGCACTGAGCCTTGTAATTTTTGTATTTTAGGTTGTCTGTCTTCTTTTCCTATTTTATCCTACCTAATTTCCAAGCTAAATTCTAGTTCCAGTGGAAAGATTGTTTTGAACGGCTTCTTCAAGCTGCCTAATTGCAGTAGGGGATGAAACAACCTATTGCGCTTCTCTTCAACCTGGTTTTAGGGTATTGCACTAACTCAACCAACTGTGGTTTATTCAGTGAACTCTGGCTAATTTGCATTTGTGAGCCTGAAATATTTATTTTTGACCGTCTGAAGACATATTTATTATTTGAGTATTAGATTGAGTATATTATTCTGGTTCAAGTGGTTATTATTGCCGTTTTGTCCTTAGTTCATCACCAGAGCCTGTTTGCTCTTAAGCAAAAGTCTGTTCCTTAGGACTACAAGCATCTCTACCTGTGCAAGTGTACACCTGTCAGGGCTATTTTCATTTTTTTTTCTGAAAGCACTTGTGCAGTTACAAACATGCATTGGCTTTCATGCATTGTATTTTTTTTTTAAATATATATATATGTGTGTGTGTGTGTGTGTGTGGGAAAGTGTAAGAAATAAAAATAAATAAATAACATTTTAAAAGGCAGTATGCAAAAGTTGCAGAATGTGAAACCACAATCTGCCCAGACATCTCACCTTCAGACTGATAGCTGGAGTTTCTGTGCGGTTTCTGTGTCTTCCAGACTGAGCCGCCTACTGGAAGGGATTCAATTTGTGTTCTAGTAGGCAGCCTCTTGTTTCGCGCGAAAACGGCATGTGACTTCTTTCTGAACCTTCTTAATAATCTCCTTTCTGCTGCCTCCAAAGGCTGGGAAGTGGAATCCTTTGCATGTAAGTTTCTCTGGTAGGGAGAATACAGTACAGTATCTCTTTTCTGTGGGTTTGCTGCTTCTCTTCTTTTCTTTTCTGTGCCCTTTAATTGTTCAGCTGAATATTCACTTGGCTAAAGATTGCATGCTCTTTGCAGCGGTAGAGCCAGCAATTTTGTTTTTCTTTTTTCTTGTTTTCTTCCTAGTGTTTTCCCACAAGCTCAGGGTATGCCTTTTGCAAGTCGACTGAGTGTTGATCCATTGGATGCGACAGGAATTGACCAACTGGCTTGTTGACCGAGCCTGACATTGGACTAGAGCCAACAATTATTTAGCATATTCCTAGACAGAAAAGATAGAAAGCTACTTGACTCTTGTTCTCTTGACCTCCTGTTCTAAGGACCTTTTCAGGATGGAAACATTTAAATANAACTCTCTTTTAAACAAATATACAGTTATTAAAAACAATAATAATAACATCACTTTAATAATTAAAAATAGTACTAAATAAACTATTCTAATTCACAAGAAAGATATATTTTGGTTTGGAGAAGATGGATAGATTATACTGAGCGTAAATATGGGACTAAAAAATATCATTTGGTTTTTGAGTGAATTTTAGAGTATTATTGTTGTATAAAGGTATCTTTTATAGCTAGGTGTGTTTTAAGGAAGCCAATTGCTCCACAGATAAAGTGGAGGCTTTTATATTTCCTTTACTATTTCTGAATTATTTACAGTGTCCAAACTTTTCTGTTTCTGATTTTCTCAGTCTTTCCCCCAGAGCCATTTGCTAGCACCTGCCCACGACATTACTAGCTGCCAACGCTCTGTCTTTCTCTTCCTCCCTTCCCCTCGATATTTCACTGAAAGAAAAAGATAAGAAAGGAATTGGCTGAGTTACTTTGGGGTATGCTGAGAGCTTCTCTTCAAGCTTGTCAGTTGTCCTTCTGTGTCCAGTAGATGTTGCGTAATACACTTCCTTCCCAGGCTGGAGCTCCCCTGAAGGCTACAGGCATCCATCTACAGCAGTGGTTCTCAACCTGTGGGTCGGGACCCCATTTGGGGTCGATCGACCATTTCATGGGGGTCGCCAAGCAAGGCTGTCCGCCATTTTTTTTGTCCACCATTTTTTTTGGTCCGTCATTTTTTCCCCCTTTTCCGGCGGGTGCCTTACCTCCCTTGGGCTGGGCCAGCTGGTGGTCGGCCTGCTCTGTCTCTGCCGCTTGCCAGCTATGCCTCGGCCGGCGCAGGGGGCGGAACCACGCATGCGCGGTGCTCCCGGGCAGGGAAAGTCCTCGACTTACGACCGGTTGGGTAGTCCTCGACTTACAACCGGTTTAGTCCTCAACTTACGACCGGTTTAGTCCTTGACTTACGACCGGTTTAGTCCTCAACTTACGACAGGTTGGGGTCGCGGCATTAAAAAGGTTGAGAACCACTGATCTACAGGTAGTCACCTACGTCAGTCACCATCTGTCAGGTTTGAGTGAAGGACATCTCTCTTTCTGGATCTTCGTGTCTCTTTTTTTCCCCAGGGAAGCTTTTAGCAGATCATTCTCTCCTAAGGATGGACTTCCGGACCGCTCCCCCTCGACGCAGGGAGACGGAACCGCCTAGATGGTTCCGTCCCAGGCGACTGATGGACCCTGAGAGGTTCCTGATGGAGCTTGGGCCATATCCGGAGGATCTGGTCCACGACTCGGCGGAAAATCAGGCGGCGGCTTGGGAGACAACTGCCGCCGCAGC